TGGGTGTCGGCCATCTTTTCGTCCACACCCACACCCTCAAGATTACATAAATATATCCATCATTACTAGAAAATTATCTGTAAATAGGATACTTTCAAAATGATTCAGAGGGGATCGCTCATATACGTTCTTTTGTAACAATAATATGCCATTTAAACGCATTCAAATGCATTTTTAGAAACGCGTTTTAGTCAATACATATGCGTTTCTATCACTAAATGATGCGTTTCAATGCGTTTTTAAAACTGCGTTAAAAGTCTAGCGAAAACATGCGAACTAGAAAAAACGCGTTTAAACGCAAATTTTTACAAATTTTTTTTTCATGGGAGTTTACAATTAATATTATTTGCCTGGTCTACAATTGAATAACATATTTTTATTTTTCATGATCGATTATTATCAAGAAAAAATAAACATTTTCTTATTTATTATTCATCTCCAATTATATTCATAATTTATTGTATTCTCTATTATATTTTTATTTTTATTTTTGTACAAGGATGTGTGGGTGTGGCTGGCCTAGTGTGAGTGTAAATATGGGTGTGGGTATCGCTGCCTTGATCAACAGAAAACGTACACCCACACTCTCGATTGAAAACTGGAGGTACTTATTTTATTAATTTTTTTTCTACAATATTCAATATTAAAGTAAAATCTAAGTATTGGTTAGCATACTCAATGCAGTTCTCATGCAGTGTTTCTATTTTTTTTACCGATGAATGAAGTTGTTCTTCGTGCCTGTAAAATTTGACTTTCGTTAAATTGATTTTTAGTTAACTAGAAACTACTACATCTGGATTATTTTTATTTTAAATTTTAAAAATGAACACATCACATTGGTTTTTTTTATTATTATAAAAATTTAAAGAAGTAATTTGCGATTTTCCTGTTGAAAACTGATATGAAAATATTAATTGCGTAAAGAAAGTAATTTGAAATCAGCTATCGTATGGAGCATTTTTTTAATGAATGACGTTTTTCTTCCATATTATTATTGGTACTGATCCACAAGACTAGCCATCTTTCTTCGTTAGCAAAGTTGAATACTCTTAATTCAAAGGAATTTCTTTGCAATCGAGTATATTGTGTGACCCAAGACTGACTTGGAGCATATTGATCTTGAGATAAACGTAAAGTAAGCTGCTCAAGATGAACAAGTTTATTTAATAAATAACGAAGATTTCGTCGTGAATGATAGTCTGTTGCTAAATGGGTTAATCGTGGGAAAAGTTGACACATATGAGATTAAAGTTTCTTTCTTGTTGTTGGTTCATAATCAAATAAAAAAAGATGTCGAATAAAAAGATTTGGTAATCAAATTAGATTAAATAGATCAAGACTATGTAAATATTGTAAATGAATAGAAGAAAGATTAGTCATATTTTCAAATAATTCAATAAAAGCTTCATTAGTACCAACATTTGATGAAAATTCAAAATATTGAATCATGCTAAGATTCACATCATTTCGAATTGCATCACAAATATCTGTTGTTAAGTAGCCATTCAATGACAGTCTTGTTACATGATTAAAACGTGGTTGATTTATAGGTTGAGACATTAATATTTGATCGAATTCATCATATTTCACGAGATCGATACTTAAATCATTGATATTTGAATAGAATATTTTAGGATTCTGCATCAAATCAAATGAATATGATTGACGATTATCGAAAGTTTTTGAAGCAAAATAAGGTATCGTGATAAGAGCATTTTGATGAGCATCATATTCCACAAACCATCGCTTTTTTTTCGACCACCATTTGGATTTAAATGTATTTAAAATGACATACATTTCTTGTTCGGATGTTGGTTCAATAGAAAACTTAAAGTTAAATGTTTTCAATAAAATAAGTGTCGTTGATAAGAATGATCTCCATCGAATACCACTCAATATATTATTACCCACTTTCAATGCTTTGTTCAATATTAATGTCATATGTTTCAAATGACACATTGGAAATAATATTTTTGCTAACATATGAAATTCAAGATCGCCATCACCTGAATAATACGAATAAAAATATTGAATA